GGAAAGATAAGAGGTACTGCAGGACCTCGAGTAGGTTGCTAGAAGATCCTTTCTCTTTATTATAGAATTTGTCCTTATGGACCTGAAGTTCCCACAGCCAGAGACAATTAAAAATAAATAAATAAAAAGCAAAGCTGGCTTTCAGAAAGGACAAGATGATGTAGCTTCTTGTCCTGAATAATCCTCATGCCCCTTGATGAGGCCTGGTGTTATCACAAGTACAATCACACACAGTCCAGGTCCTGGCCCTAAGGAGATAGAAATGGGAAAAGAATAGTGACAGAGAGACACTGAGATGCACGTTATAAGGGTCAAGGAGATCCTCCTAGAAGAGCTTCATCAATCATAACACAGGGTCTGTAGTATCTTCTTACACTTCAGCAAGTAGAAAGCAAAAAAAAAAAAAGGGGGGGAGGGGAGGAATTGCAGAGAGATTCTGGGGAGACATTTCTCCCAATCCCCCTGAAAAAACAGCTTCCCTCCATTCCCACGTAGTGAGCCCTCAGTCCCAGCCTTCACACTGCCCCCCTACAACCCTCTCAGCACGAAGGGGGGAATATTCCCAGGCAGCTCCGGGGGTGGGCGGGTGGGAGAAGGCGCTGTGCAAGGTGGGGTGTTGTGGCCTGAATTCCCCCCCTTGCTGGGACCCGGCGTTGTGACAACCCCCCCTTGAGGGCAGAGGAGGAACGGGAGTGTTGGATGCCCCCTCCAAGCCCCTGGAACAAGAGAAGGGGTGCGGGGGGGAATATCAAGTCAGGCAGATATTGGGGGGGGAAGCATTTTGAGGGACTTCCTCCCCTTGAAATCCCCCCTCGCTTCCTCCTCTACAGGAAATAGGTGTCATGATTAATAACACCCCCTTCCACTTCAGCAACAGCGAAGGGGGAGGGGAAGGAGCATTTACACAGACAGCTAAGGCGGCATTATCGAGAGGGAATCCCCCCCATAACCTCCACCCCTGGAGAGGGAAGGGGAGCAGTCACAGGCGGCACAGGAGGCACAGCCATGACCGAGGGGGTGGGCTCTGCCTCCCCTCAGCCCCCGGGATTAACAGAGCCCTTTTACACTCCAGCAACAAGGACAGGAAAAGCAGAGGGGACCGGCGGAGTCACGGACGGGCACTGCCGGCTCCTTCTGCGGGGCGGCTGCCCCCACACATGATCCAACACCCTCGAGTAAGCACGGGCGAGGAGGGAAAATAAAGGGGAGGGAGCAAGGCGCGGATACACACCGAGGGGGCATGATGAGGGGAGGCTCTCCCCCGTATGATCGATACCACCCTTTGCACTCCCGCTCCTGCCACAACGAGAAGGAGGAGAGAGGGAAAAGGGGGGAAAGCAGAGAGGGAAGGAGGCAGCGGGAGCTGGGGAGTGGGGGGAGGGGAGGGCCCCTCTCCCTCAGAGCCCCCCACCCCTGCCCACGTTACCTGCTTTTGTGATCTCTGGGGCACTCAGTCCCATCTTGCTGCCGCTGCCGCTCTCTGTTTGGGCATTAGCATTGCCTCCTACTACTACTCCTCCAGGGCTGGGGCTTGGGCTGCTGCTGCTACTGCTGCCGCTCACAACATGGTTCCCCAGCAGCCCCCCAGCGGCCCTCAGGGGCTCCTGCGCCTTGTGGTGCTGGTGGTGGTGGCCGGAGGCCGCCAGCTGGGACTCCAGGGAGCCCACCAGGTCGCTCACCACCTTCTCATCCACCTCCGTGTTCAGGAAAACCTCATCCAGCAGATCCGAGCCCGCCGCCATCTTTTTTTCGGAGGGTTCCTGTGAGCGCTCCCTCCTCCCCCCCCTCCCCTTTCACTCCTCCCTCCTCCCCCCGCCCCGCTCGCACCCGCTCCCCCCGCACCAACCGCGCACGCGCGCGCGCCCGGCCCTCACATCACCGGGCCGGGCAGGGATTCCGCCCGCCGCTGATTGGCCGGCGCCCGCGCTATAAAAGGCCGTGCAAATGGCTGCGAACGCTTAGTTGGGAGTCGGGCGGCGGCGGCGGCTCCGCGCGGGCCGCGGGGCGGGCGGGGGCTGCGGCCCCCTCGGTGTGGCCGCGCCGCGGGCGCGGGTTGGTGCGGGGGGCCCGTGCGGGGCAGGGCGGGGGGGCGGCCGCGGCCGCCGGCGGCTCTTTGTCTGCCTCGGCCCAAAATGGCTGCATGTTTTTCCCTGCTGCTCCCTGCGTCCGGGTCTCCCCCGCCGGCGCGAGTCTGAAGGGCGCCCCGCACCTGTGCCAGCTGCGTGTAACTGATCCACCGGCGGGGCGGGCGGGGTGCACGCCCAGCCCCGGGCGGGGGCAGCGGGCGAGGAGGAGCCCCTGTGCCTGCCTCCCTCCCTCCCTCCGCCGCTGGCGGGGCGACCCGGGGGCCGCAGCCCCTCGGCGCGGCCGGGCCGCGGGGGCGGGTGCCGGGCGCGGTCTGACTCAGCACGGCCGGGGAAAGCGCTGCGAGCCCGGGCGCCGCGGAGGGAAAAGGGAGAGGAGAGAGGGGAGGCGGGGGGGAGAAGAGAAGGAGGGAGACGGCGATTTTGAACGGTCCAGTCGCAGCTGCGAGCCGGCACGGCAGGGCGATCCCCGCCCGTGTGTCAGCCCGCGTTACACCCCCGGCGCCGCTTAACCCTTGTGGGGGAGCCGCGCTCCGCGCAGCGCCCGGCGGGCAGCGCTGACCCCCGAGGGTCGGCCCGCGGGCATCGGGCCGGGCGCTGCCGGCAGGTGGGACACGGTCGCGTATACGGGAGGCGGCTGCACTTTGACCTTGTTGTGCAACCATCATAAAGGAAGTAAATAACGTAAAAAAAAAAAAAAAAAAAAAAAAGGTACAACCCGCCTTTCAATAAGCGCGCTCTTCTTGCCGAGCGCTGTTTCCCCGGAAAAGCTGGATTGCTGGAACAATATTGCCAGATGCTACGATTTATCTTTCGGGGAATAAAAATCATAGAATCGTCAAGGTTGGGAGAGACCTTTAAGATAAAGTCCAAGCATAAACCCAGCACTACCATTGTAACCCCTGAGCTACTAAACCACATCATCCAGCGCCAGGTCCAGATGCCCCTTAAACACCTCCACCACCTCCCTGGCAACCTATTCCAGTGCCTGATTCAACTTAACTTTCAATTAAGTTTTAAGGGGCAACAAGCTTAAAATAGCACCTCTTATATCAGTATTTTAAAATAAGCTTTGCTCTTATGTTTTGGGAATGGGTGGCATTAGAGGCTGGAACTCTGCTGTTAGTGGGATGGGCTCAGCACCTGCTGGTTGGTGATGCCTAGAATTGACTGGCCTGAAAGCTGCTGCCTGAAGGCTGATGGAGACCTGGAAGAACAAGAGCTATGAGTTATCTGTGAGAAGGGGGTTGTTTTAAACAGGTCAGAGTATTGTCTGCTTAGGATTGCCCAAATGTGGGTGTCAACGTTTTCCCCGTGGCATATTTGTGATGATCACTTTACTTGTAATGCTGTGACATTAAATAAATTGATCTGCTTGGCAGTTGACCCTGTGAGCAATGGGAACAGTGCTGAAGTACTATCCGTGTCGTACCCTGCCCCCAAATATGCAAATGTACCTTAAAAAGCTCACACAAAAAAAACATAAAAACTGATGGGTATTTGTTCTTAGCACATAGGCCTCAAATAATAGTATAAGTATCTTTAAATCAAAAATCTTAGAAATTCAGTTCATAGTAAATAATACTGCTCTTTTAGTTTCTATGTCCTCCTCTAACCTGCAGTAAACTTTGGCTGGTGACTAAAAATTACAACACTGAGCCTTTCCCAAGGCTCCACTCACTTCACCAGGTGGCATGACTAGGAGGGACTGCCTAAGTCCTCTGAGAAGTTATATATTAATCTTTTATTCTTGTACTCAAATACTTTTCTCAGTCATCATTTGAAACTCAAGGAGAGAAACTGCCCTTCCCATCACTATGATTTTTAACTTCCATTTTATCGATTTTTGACAAATTACGATGCTACAAAGTAGCTGTGATTTTACAGACGTCGCCGCAGGTCACGTTGCCCGTTTCTTACGAGACAGGAATGCTGCTTCGAGCAGGACAGTCCCAACCTCTGCTGCTGCCACAGTCGAGCACGTTGCTAGTTTTAGCTATGGTGAAATTCTATAAGCAACATACCAAAGAACTCTCTGGAATAGAAGCCTTGTCACATTCCCTAACCAGCAGAAGAGTTAATCTACATCAGCTGCTCGAATGATTTATTAAGGGTGAAAAAGCTCGACTTTAAGCTAAACCAGCCCAAAGGTGCAGAGTGGCTGAAAGTCTTTGATGGCATCTAACCAGGGTACAGCCTTGTGCTGGGCCACAGTGCCTGAGGGAAGAGAGAGGGACAGGAAGAGATGGAGGATGCTATCAAGTGGCAGCAGCAGCAGCCAGCATCAAGGGACAGAGCAGCCTATATTCTTCCTCTGCTCGCATTCTAGGACAGCTTGAATGTAGTTTACAGATGCCTACAAAACTAGAAATAAAAACCTCGAAATCTTCACGTCCTCATTCTAACACTCTCTTTAGTGTACCATATGGCACATCTACCATATTAGGTAAACAACTTCACAAAATTACAAGAGCAACTGAGATTCATTACAACTTGTGCATTATAAGTGTGTAGGATTCATTACCGAATAATTTATCTTTTCATACTCTCTGTCTGTTGTTTGACACTCAAAGTAAGTTTCTGCACTGAATTCTTCAGGACAAGAGTTCCAGCTCCTCTGTGCTGTACTGCTAAAGTTTTAAATTATATAAAAGAGCAACTTGCATAAGAATTCTAATAATGGGTTACAGGTAATTATCGATGTTGATGTACAAATAATCAGACTCAATATACAATGAATGCTGTGGACTTCCCCCATCAGCAATAACATCAAAAGATCTTAAATATCACAAGCACATATGGATTCCCCATGTGTCAAAGAGCAGAACTTAGCAGGAGCTGTACAGGAAAACCAGAGAGCTGTCATTTGTTTCAAACTGCTCCCTTTAGGATATTCTTATTTAAATTCTTATTTTTTCCCCTAGAACCAGCCTATATGGATCATGGCCCAGAGACTGTGTCTCAAGTTATGGTAATGCCATTCTTTTTCTTTTTGTTTTCTAAAATGTAGTTAGCCTAGAACTCATTACAGGAATATCTGACAGAGGTATGGATTGGGGTGATAAGGGACAGAGCAGAGAAGCCTACAGATGGTTTTAGTCTTAACTGACCTTCGGAAGACTAAGGGCCCATCAATAAATAGACGAAAAACTGATAGTGATAGTTCTGACTGGTGATTTTTTTGCTCATGTTTCCTGCCCTTTTCTCTGCTCCTCACCCAGCCACCGATCATTTCAAATGCTGAAAGGTGGAATTTAGCTGGTAGTAACTCGATTCCACAAGTTCAGTCAAACAAGATGATGAAATTAATACAAATTTTGGGTTTATTAGAAAGCGTCACTGTTCTTGTAGCCAGTGCCAGCCTCCTTTAATAAGTGTTCAGCAAAACCATCAAGACTTCATATGCATCTGGAATACAAGTGTTTGACAATCTATAGGAAAAATATTCCTGTTTTTTTACTTTGAAATAAGGGGCAAATGCAGTCTTACTACATACATATACCTGGAAATAAATAAAACAACTTAAATACCTCTTTGCAGTTTATGCACTTGACTGTCCTCTCTCTGGAAGCTCAAAACACTGTTAAAGTCTTGGTCTTCAAATCATCCCATGTACTTCAGTTGTCCTTAAGTGAATCCCTGAAGAAGTCTAATACTCCTAATAGGGATTAATATTCAAAATTAAGTATGGTATGCTCCAGGAAAAAGCCTTAACCCTTGCAGAATAAAATAACAAGAGATGAACAGTAGATTTGGAAAGGAAGTGTGAAGTCCCCTTTTATTTTGTGATAATCATACTTCTCTACACTCCTATTTCCACTTAAGGACAGTGTCTGCTCTCATGAGTACTGAACTGTTTCTGCAAGCTACAAAAGCACCACTTTTGACAGCAACTCAGTGTTCTGGACTGAACACCTCTCTAGGGAAAAGGAATGGCAAAAGCATCCACTTTTTTAAACGTTTATATCTACATAACAGTTACTGGAACTCCAGAAGTAGAGCAGAAAAAAACCAGCTCTTCTTTTCATAAAATATATTTGCATGACAGCGTGAGGGGTTGTCCTCTTTTTAAACACAAGGTATTTAACGATACCTAGTTATTAAGTGGGAAATACGTAGAAAATACCTGTTAGAGAGAAATTAGTTGTGAGCTTGATTTTCAAAATGAAAGGTTAGCTGAGCACACAACTGCCTTGGCAATGTCCCCTAGTGTTTATGGGACAGAAGATTGTGTCACTATTACATGCTACATGCAACTCACACAGGAGTTATTTCAGTAGGGCTGTCCCGAGGCATTCCAAAGTCCATGCAAATCAACATCCTGTGCCCAAAAGAAGATGCCCAGAGAATATACTGTAAAATAAACGATTATTGTTTAAAACCCTTCAAGGCTTACAGTATAAAAGAGCTGTGGAATACTATTTTTCCTTCCCAACTGCTCTTCATCTAACTCGTCACGCTTGTTACTGCCTGCCAAGATAGGAAGTATCACTATCCAGGCTCATCTGTGCGGGAGTTCCTGGGGAACTTTACTAAGAAAAAGGAGCACTTGTATAAGAAGATGGGAGTTTCTAACCACACACCCCAGCAGCTGGCAGAGATTTTTTAAGCAAATCCTCTGAATGGAGATTACTAGTAAATGTCCAGAATTTTATCCACAGAGGAGGGAAGCAGCGGGCATGTCAACAAAGATTTGCGTTTTATCTGTTCTGAAAAATTTCTTGTGCAAGTCTACAGGATTCATGGGGAAAAAATATTATTAGAAGATTAGAGGTCCTTCTGGTAACTACAACCAGCTTCAGTAATTTCACATATTTTGAATTTAGCAAATTATTAGAACTGACCGGGCAAAATGAAAGTGCTTTCCTCTCCAAGCAAATTAAAGAACTTTTGGAAAATTGAATCACTATTTCCAAGACAGAATCTGTCAAGAAAATGTGCCTACTGATGGGTCTCATTACTGGAAATCCAATTTGCACATTTTACAGTCAGGATTTGTTAGAATATGTTTGAAATATTTCTTTTTAGTGAGTGCTGACTTTGGCAGGTTTTGCTTCTATTGTTCTGGGATCCTTTGTGGGCAAAGTATGACCCTGCGAGGGATGTTTTATCAACAATATACCCTCAGACAACCTAAATGGTACGTGATACCATGGATATTCCAGTTCTGGACTCTTGTGCTCTCTTAGTTCAGAACTGTTCTAATTCTTCTCTGAGCTTTCCAGCATCATCCAGCACTGAACATTTACTCCACCAGTTCTCCTGTTTGCTTGAAGAACTGAAGATAGATGGATTTTTCCAGTCAATACCATGATACAGCTTTCTTAGATCATTGCCTTTTTGCCCCATCAAAAAGACTTTTTACTGGACACATTTAACAATTGACCAGTTATGGCAATCAGTGTTATCATCCCTCCTTCTTTATATGCTTCTCTCCACTTACCTTCAAAAATACATAAATAAAGATAAATGAAAGAACTTAAGATGAATCTTTATCTTGTTTGCTCTTGGTCAGTGCCAATAACAGGTACAGGCAGTTCCTCAGTTCTGAAACAGCAGTTGCTGTAGTTGAAAACATTTGTCCTATGGAATTTGATATCACAATGCCTGGAGACTGTAAGTTACAGGAGCAGAGCTGGACACATTCTTTGTCCCTGTGCCCCTATTTAAATCATTCAGTGGCCCCATGGCACCCCTTTTTTAAGATAAAGGAGTTATTTTAAAAGGGGATTGTGTGCCTGAATACACATCTTTTAGCTCATTAATAGTATCAAATGACTTACAGGCTAAAAAGTTGGTAAAACTTTCAGCATATGTTCAATACGTAGGACAAAATCTTATGTAGACAGAAGAGGTATGGAAACATCACAATTTAAAGAAAAAATGAAAGCAATCTAGTAAAGGAGGTTTGTTTTGGTTGTAATGAAATGAGATTTTATCTAAATGTTTTGTGGATTTGGAATGCAAAAAGTATGTAAGGAAGATTTTGCCGAGTTTTGGTTTTGTTTTGGGGGTTTTTTTTAATGACTTCTCTGTAATAACTGATTAGAATAAATCATGCTGCAGCTTCTTTATTGAGCTGCCTCAGATTTAATAAAAACACAGCTAGAAAGGCTATTAGACAGGTTTGGTTTTTTTCTGGAATCTCCAACAGTCTAGTTAGGGATGTGTTTCCAGACTATAAGTTATTTTCTTACACTACCTAAAATATATTCTGACTATCAGAGTTCAAGGACTTGCCCCTATTCCTTTAATAAGCTTTTGCCCATTTTGGAAACTGCAAACAAATCTAATAACTCAGTTAAATATGGGATGTGTTCCCACAGTTGCCTGAAGAAACTAGTACATGTTTTGAAGCAAGTCAGACAAAAGATTTTATCTCTCAAATATAAGATGGGCAAAACTTCCAACCCAAAGGAAACAACACACCCAGATAAATGGCCAAGGGGTTTATGTTAAGTTGTTCCTTACTGTCAGTTTTGTCTGTATGGGGTACCTTCCAATATTCTTCCATCACCACAGAAGTATAACAAAATTGCTGTCGCTATTATTTAAGTTGCTAGCTAGGACAGTAACCCCCTCTGTCTGTGTACAAAAACCATGTATTAATGACCAGACTAAATGACAGGCAACAAATGTAACTTCTTGATTAGGCAAGATGATTAGGCTGGGGTAGCAACAGACAATTTGTATGTTCTTGTGTAAAGCAGTCAAATTGTTTTTATGAAACTATAAAACTTGTTTCTCTTAATTATTTTCAGCAGAGCAAAAGAGAGAGGTGTTTTTGCTGCTCTGTGAAGTTCAGTGGGCCAGTAAGTTTACTCATTCATTACTATTCCTTGCCATGAAGCTGTGCAAGCAGAATTGTATGACTTGGCAGGCTGAAGCCATCCCCGCTCAGGCTCATCCCCAGCAAGAGCCCATCAAAGGTAACATCCCTGTGACTTCCAAAGTTATGTGAAGTTGGAGACTGGTACATATGTTGGTGTGATCATACAACAAGCTGGCTCTTACCCCTGGACTGTTACCAGCATTTCCACTGACTCAAAGAGAAAACAGAAAGCCTGTACAGTGTCAGGTTGTCCCCTTCTTCAAGCTTTCCTGTCATGGGAAGAGATTCATGGAAAACAGAACCCTCACACCTTCTCTTACCGTTTGACCACTTTTAACTGTTCTGAAATTCAACCTTTTCAATTCAGAGGGATCGTCTCCCTTCAGGAATCACACCATCCTCTTTTATAACTGAGTGGAGCAGTGAGGCACCTGCAACCCACAGGACCTGAATCACTGACTCCTGCCCCATAAAGGCCAGAATGAGTTATTATCCTATTGCAGCTCAGATCCTTGAAAAGTTGTGCACTACTACATAACTTTGGGCTCCCAGTTCATTCTCTTGCAGATGCAAATATCAAATTTCTTTCAGTTTGGAATAAATACAATTATTTTTTTCTAACTCACAACCTCACCCTCAACTCTACTTGTGGTTCTTTCTGCTTCATCAACAACAATTAAGATTCTTCAGACCAGTTCATGCTCTGAGTTAAACTTGCACAAACCTTTTGCCTTCAAAATGTCCTCCCAGATAGCCTTTAGAAAGTTGGCACAGGGGATGTCATGGGCAGAGTAAATGTTGAGGATGCTGCTGAGTAAAATGCAGAGTCCAAGATGAAGCTGTGGGACTCTGAAAAAAAAAAACAAACAACATATTAATAAGAATTAAGTGAGAAAATTGAAATGCCAAATCTCAAATGTTTTGGTTGCTGTACAGAACAAAAAGGTGGCTTATAAAAGTACACTATTAAACCCCTTGTCGTACATCAAGTAATAGAGAAATGAGGTATAAATTACAAATATTGTAAAGGCTTTGGAACAGTAAATGTCAGAATCTTCATGGCTATGTGAAAAGTGTGTACACAAATACTGCAACAGTAAGGAGAAGTATGAGTTAGAACTCACCATCCAGAGAGACCCTACTGTCTTCTGTGAAGACCGATTTACAGTTTAGCTTCTAAAATGTGAAGGAGATTAAATGCCAGTTTATTGTCATACTAAAATAAATTACTTTCTGAAACGGCACTACAATCCTATTGCTATGAATTACTTTACCATTCTTGGTATCTTTAACCTAAACCTGAATTAAAACCTGTAACCTTTAAATTCCGAAGCCTATTTAGTCTTATTTTAAAAAGGAAAATAACGAAGATAAATGAAGAACACCCTAGAAGATAAAACAATGACTAATAATTCACGTCCTCGAAGACATTTCTGAAACATGCCTTTTCAAACAAGTCCAGGAACAGTTCAAGCCATGAAAACTGCAGCAGATGTTATGCAGGGAAAGAACAGCTCACTGCCAAGGCTGGGTAAAATGATACGTTACCTCACTGAACAGAAAGAAGCCGAATCTACAAGTCATTTGTAAAACAGGTAAGAGAGGGAGACTCATTTCTTTGGCTGAAGAACAGAGTCCACTGTAAAGAATTAATGCAAATGAGGTCTCTAAACTAAAGCATCTAATAAAGCAGCTCTTTCCTCTATGTTCTCAGCCCACTGATGTACCTTGTCCTATGATTTGATTTGCACGAGCAAGAGCTGTGCAGCAGACTTGGTTCAACCCCACTCAGGTCTCAGTGCCAAAGAAACAGTGCTCAGTACTGATGGCTGGAATGTGTTCAATAATTTGTAGGGAGAGAAAGAAGTACAGAGAGAGAAGGAGGAGCTCTTAAAGAAACACTGCTGTTGAGCTTTCTGGAATTTTAGCCAAACCCAGCTAGTGAAGCCAGATTTCTGTACAGGGAATGGTGACATTTGCTTGTCTGCAACATCCAGGGGTGTGAAGTGAACATAACTTGTATTACTGCAGTGAATATAACTTGTACTCTCCATTTGATTTTGTTCAGAAAAGACTGGTCACAGAGTGATGCATCAGGCTGTACTCCCATCTGCTCCCTGGTCTCTCCACTGAGACATTGTCAAGTGTACCAAGTAGGTCAGTTGTGACGGTCTAGCTGTACCTTGGGCTCTTTTCAGCCTACAAGTGGATTTAGATCATTGGTTATCACTGCAGCTCTTCAACCTCTAGGAAAGCTGGGCACGAGACTACATGTACAGATTCTGATTTCTCCCAGTTAATGCATAAATGTGAACCTCTACAAAATCTTTACCTGCAGATTAATCCTCTGCAGCATTTCATCCCTAAAGACAATTTTTTGCTTCCTTTCTCCTTTTATTATCTCCTATTTTTCTTTCAGTGTGCTCTTCACCTTTTGCTCACTTCATGCCTTAAAGAACTTTATGAAATCCTACTCTCATCACATGCCCTCACATCAGTGCATCTATGAGAAGGATACACGGTGTAGTTGACTTCAGTGCAAATTATCCAAGGAAAGCAGCCTATGCAACAAAAAAAAAAAAAAAAGTCAGAATTTTTCCTAATGGAACTTCGTATCTCAGGCTACATTCAGTGCTCCCCCCTGTCCTAGACAGACAATTATCTCTCTTTATGCCCTAATTATTTCTAAACTTAAGTCTGAATCCTCTTGCTCTTTTGAATGGGAGATAAGTGCATAAACACCTGTTTAAGAATCTAGGCCTGGCTTATAAGTCTTCATCTTTCAATTTTTTGTGACCAAACTGCAAACTTCAGCTTTGTCAACCTTTTATATATCACAAACATTATCCATTTACTTTAAGAAATAAAAGGTTCTCTTAAAATTATCTCCAGCTTCCATATCCATGAATAAATCACCTCCTGGTCAGCGATGATAACTTCATCTTGCCATTTGTGATCCAGAAAGCCTCAATATAAAAGGTAATTGCACTTCCTTAACAGTTCCATTCCCCTCTGTGCTTCAGTGATGAAATGAACTCCAACAGCAGGCAGGATTTTTGAGTTATGTTCTTGGTACTATGTCTAGTACCAAGTGTGGATTTTTAGTCTTCTTTCCATGAAGCAGACACTGGAGCAGTGGTGTGAGTGTAGAAAGTCTGCAACAGCAGTTTGTGTTCATTCTAATAAAAGATTTTAGGCGTGTCCAAGATATTTCAGTTTTATAAAAATAAGTAAATGTATGTTCCCTCCTTACTCCGTTGTACCAAAGGTGTCCCAATGGCTTCTAACCTCGAGAGGCTCAGGCAATCAGACACAACTTTTATAAGTAGACTCATGAAGTGCAAACAGCAAAGACTGGGCAGGTCAGAAAAGCACTGTTGGCTTATCCCTTACATTTAGTGGACATATTGAACCTATCTCAAAAAAACAAAGAGTTTACAAGTCAGACGGGTAATTTGAATCTTCCACATGGAAGTGCTACACAAACAAAACAATTCTTCAGCATGTCTTTGTCATTTCACCATTGAATTTCCACAAGTACAAAAGAAATTATTATTTTGTATTAGAGCAAGGGACTATCTTTATCTTTAGAAAATGGTTGATTTATCAAGGAAAAGAGTAACTGACTACAGTATGAAAAGTGGGATTGAATGCAAACATGGAACAAGAAAGTGAAAATGTATCATTTTAACTTGAGCAAGTTTATAATAAAGCTGGTTAAACAGTGTAGATTTAGAGCCTGTTTACTCTAGTAATAACATAAAATGCTACTTATTTAATCTCTATAGGTAAAGACTTAGATACTGACACCATACCTTATAAACACTGTGTATCTGTACAAAACAGTGTTTGTTTTCAGCCAAACTCATGCAAGCATTTCCTCCTTTTATGTTTGTATTTCATACAGTTGGAGTGTTCAAATAAACAGCAGTGCCCACAGTGTGGTCTTGCTTTCACACTCACAAACTTTGTGGGTCTGGATAAGATGTTTAATCTCTCTGCCATCTCCTCCTTACTGGTAACATATATTTTGTCTTGACTGTGCTTTACAGTCCCTTGGACTGCTGAGAAGTGCAATGGAATAATGCAGATTTATGCCAGTGCCACTGAGTACACAGTCGAGGTACTAATTAAGAGAACCAAACCCACGCAAGACTAAAACTAAGACATTTTATAAAATATTTCATTTAAAACCAGGATTTAAACTGACTTTAAATTTGATATATGGGGGTGGAATGAAAAATGTCAAAATTGAAGTGCTTGAGGCATAGACTCAAAACTGAGAAAAAGAGAAAGAGAGGAAGGGGAGAGAGGACAGATCAGCATTACAGCTATTACAGTCTCTGTATTTATTTATGAAATAAAGAAACCCCAACACCTATTGTTTGATGGATTTTTTTTTCAGAAGAGAGGCCCCTTTTGCTGAGATGTAAGACAAATTACCGTGATGAAACACTAGTTCCTACATACATCATTGTATCACTTTTTCTTAGACTGTTGGGAAATATAGAAACTAATTGTATTAACCCCACATTGTCTAAATAAAGATTACCAAGTTTTCTATTTTTTCTATTTATTCATATTTCCATTTTTTCTTTCCCTTATTCCATTCACCTTCCCTCTCTCTTCCCTTTATTTTAGTTTCCTTCAGTTGATTTTACATGCCTTTTTCTTTATTCTAGTTCCTCTGCATTTCTTTATTTAGAATAAAAAACCATTACAAGGGTGGATTTTTTTTTTCTTCTCATCTTTCCTGAATTTTTTCAGTTTCTCCACCTTGTTCTAGTCCCTCCTTCATTCCTGGTCTCTTTTCTACTACCCATTTCCCACACTACTACAGAAACTGTGTTCTGTACTTGGTGACCTTCCCTTCCTTCCCGCAGCTACCACAATTTTTCTTTGAAACTGCTGCTCTGTTTCTAACTTTTTCTCCCTCTAGGGCTCTCTCATTTCTCCCTTCCTTTGTATCATTTGTTTTGTTTGCCGTACCCCAGCTCGAATCTCTGTTCCACTTTAACTTCCTCCATTTTCCATGCTTGTTTCTTTTCTCTCCTCTTCTTCACCACCAACTGCAAACATATCTCACTGTCCCCTCGTGAAAAAGGTGATGCTTCAGCAGCCTGGCTCCCTTCTTCCAGCAGTTGGGGCTTGTTAGAGGTGTCCTGCCAACAGCTGGTTCCTGTCATTAACTCTGCCAGAGTCAGTTCAGCTCACGTTGCCATGGATGTAGCGACCAGCCACCCCACATTTCCTCTCACCCTCATGCACCCCATAAATTTCCATCAGTGCTGCAAGTCACAGGTTTCTCTTTTAACTGCTGTGAAATATCATTTTATATATATATATATATATATATATATATATATATATGGGTGGGTGACTCTCCAAAACACCACAGTTGCTTTCCAGCTGCCACGGGAGCCTCCTTAGTTCTGGCAACACAGGTTTTTCTGTAAATGAATTAACCATGTGGTTACATTTACTGTACCCTACCTCCAGTCTCCAAAAACCACAGTTCCCCGTAGTCCAGATTGCTGTTTTGTGAATCCTATGTCTGCTGTGATCACGAGGAGTCTCTCCACCAGGTTTCTTCCTAGTGCCATGATGAACTGCAGTCAGCTTCTCCATATGAAACCAAATATTCCCTTTTCATATGAAGGATGCCCAGGATCGCACACTTGTCATGAATTTACACAGTGAGAGATGCTCTTTCCTTCCTCCTTTCAACACTTAGTGGATGAAGAACTGCATTTTTTAGCAGAATAAATAACACTAACAGGGCATTTAAAATGTCAAGTGTCATATTTCTTCTTGCTGATCACTTGTTATCTCTGACTGTTGTCAAACAAAAGATATTGAGGAAATTCATTACAATAAGAGTATCATCCAGAAGCAGTTTGATTTATGACCAGGATGATTATAACTAAAATTCTGTATGTTTGTATATCTCTCCTTACCAGTGTATAGGTCATGCCACTTTGGTGTAGTTTTCTTTTTCCACACTGGTTTAATTAGCTTTCCTGCAGGACCCACACCACTGTATCAGTACATGTGATTGTCCCTTCCTCCTTTCTGGTATTGAAGAAAAAAAAAATGAAAGGATAAAACAACCGTCAGACTAAATAGTAAATTTTTGAATAAATAGCAAAATTCTGAGACTAGAGGTACTTATGAACCAGTGATATTTTGATTTGCATAAAGAAAAAAAATTAATTGAACTGCAAAACCCAGAGTCTCATTTACTATTTCTAAAAAATATTTTAAGAGTGGAAATAAGAAACATCAAATTAGACATACTGTGGAGTTGGAGGTTATAAACCTAAAGAGGGAGTACTGCTTCTCTTCCTTTGGTTGTATTGCCTAAACTGGCATCATTTTGCTCATTATAAATAATTATTCTGGCTGTCTCGAACATTTTATTATTTCTTGCCCTATTTTTTCTCTATCTGAACTTTTCCACATTTTTAAACTAGACACTCCTCATACAGGGGAACTAGATGAGTTTTTTCATCAAGGAAGTTTCTAAGCAGTAATTTGCCCGCTAAAGGGCACTGTTTACTGCAGTAGAAAAGGAATCTCTTCTTTTCCTGTGTAGGTTATACTTAAGGCTGAGCTAAAAATCTAAAATGATTGACTTTAAAGGCTGGCTTTCTTAGTCAAGAACTACTACTTGCTCAATTAATACGTATAGATTATTTCCTTTATATTTTTTTTAGCAACTCTACGTTAGAACAGTGACAATTTAACAAGAAAAAGACTGCACACATGTATCTTTAAGAGAGAGTGGAAAGGAAGGCGTCTGCCCTGTTCAGGCAGGGAGATCTGCTCTCCAGGTTGTACAAACAGCATGAAGAGTAACACCATAAAACACAAAAGGTCACAGGGCAGACAGCTTGGGGCATTGGGAGAACAGCTCTCCGAGCCGTGGTGTGCAGGGAAGCAGGTCGTCCTGACATGCGGATAAACCTGTGGACTGCATCTCCCGTGTCGCTGTTGTATCGCTGATGGAAGACATGTAACCAAGGCATGGGCGCCTGCAGCTCCAGCGAACCTCCCCGCACTCAGACAATGGCTCCGCTGTATTGTCTGCGGCCGCTGGGTTTGAATCTTATTCATTTGCGTCACACAAATTAGTGAGATTTGTGCACTCTGACCTGCTGCCCCAAAGGCAGCCGCCCCGCCTGATCCCCATCCACCCTGGCGCTGGTGAGTGATTTCACCTCCTGTGACCATGTCTGCCAGATGCTGCCGGTTGTCTCTCATTGACCCGCAGATGGCTGGGGAGCACGATGGCTCCCCGGGGACACCGCGCCGAGCGGTCCATGCTCCAGCTGCGGCCTGGCCATGAGTGACTGCGCCAGGGTGAC